TAACGTAAGTGCCCCCAGGTAAGTTGGATACTGTTTTGTTGAACTTGCCTGCCAATCACCTACATTATTTTACGTTATAATGACGTCTTTTGTACTGGCACTACTAATTATGGTCACTATTATTGGCATCACTAGTATTAGAATATTATTAGTATCAACAGTAACATAATATTAGCTCCTTAACAATATTAGTCTTGTTATTTGCTACTTGTTGTTAGTTGCGGTACTATTGATCTTATTGTCGTTAGTGTTAATAGTACTATTAACTGCAGTCATAATCCCAACAGTCGCACCTTTAGCTTAGCTGTGACCCCAACATAAGCACTTCCGTCGAAAACTTTTAGCATTCCCAAAAAATTCTCCGCTGAAATGGAAGCTGTGTGCTCGTCTCCTCTCTCCTCCTTCTTCTTTTCTTGCACAACCTGTTCTACAATGCTCATTTCCAGCCTGTTTCTTTTTTAGCAATGCCAACTCACGCATTTACCGGACACAGCATTCGCCCTGTGTGTGTTGTGTGTGAAGTGGCTGATGAGTGGACTGTGGGTCAGGAGACGCCGGCTCATTCTAATCCCCTGGATATGTGAATCCTGATGCGTGTGTCAAGAGGGCTAGGTCGTGCTGTAGCGTGCGCAGACGGATTCGCCGATCCTCAGCACATTTCTTTCCTCACTATAAGCAATCTGATGCGCTTGAAGCTATTGCGGTGGGCTAAACGCCGTAGCTTGGAGGGTTGCCAACTGATGGGATAACTCGGTCCGCGCAGTCAGTTCAGCTTATGTCTTGTTGTGTAGAGTGGCTGACTGGCGGGCTGAGAGCCAGGCTGCAATGGCTCCTTCTTAATGTGGCCTTATGGCACTTCCCCGTAAGTGGCAGTCCCTAGCAAGGTGGTGTTGTTGCGGCGCGTAGTGGATTGTTGGCGCGCGAACCGCCTGTGCCCCCCCCCACGTCTCCGGTCTTCTTGACTTTTTCATGACATAGGGTACAGATCCGGAAGTGGTCAGATAGTGGGGTAGATTTTCAGCGAGTTTACTTTCAATATATTCACGCGGGAGTTACTGTGTTTACCTCAGCTTGCTGAAGTTCATAGTAAACATCGTCAGAAACGACGGTCGAATTGTCACCGAAGATTGACCAAATTCGACTCGATAAGCACTCGCAAATATTATCCTTCTGCAAAATGATGATATTTCTGGTAAAATCAGCCTAACATTTCTTTATAAGAGGAAGGCGTTTCGATCACCGGAATCGTCATTTCATTCTACTGAGCTTTCGGGCTCTTACTGGAGTCCATCCTCAGAGATAAACCGTCAACGGTTATAGGTAGCAGTAACCAATCAACTGTTATAGGGGGAGGGGGGGAGGAGGAGGGGGTGGGACTCATTAATCAGGTTTCGGCCGTGCGTATATACCTGCGGAGAACGATGTAGGCGGGCGCCAGCTCAGTGCACCGGTTGACTGAGTTGTTATCCGAGGCCAAGGCTTCAATTAGCTG